CTGTAAGTGCTGCCACTCCCCAGCACACCCCCTCCACATCAGTCAAGAAAGGTTCTACCAATTCTGCTCTTTGCAGTGCTGGAAAATGCTGCTTAATGACAGAAGCATGGGCTGCCACTACCCCATGGGAGCCCAAGAAAGGAGGAGAATGAAGGTGAGAAACACTTCCCTGTACAACACGAGGATGCAAGCAGCAAACGGGATGCAGAGGGTAAGTGCCCCCGGCAAACTCAGCTTCAAGCAAATAGCTTTTGCCTGTCAGTTCGCTTCCCCAGCAGATTTACAGGTCTGTCCACAAAGCTCCCCAGCTTTCTTCCTCTGCGCCCCAGGGCTGGGGGCCCAGCAGCTCCGCTCAGCCCTGCCAATGCCCGGAGCTGGTTTCCATGTCCCTGCTGAGCACACCCAGCCCTGCCAGCCCATGGGAGCAGGGCCCATCCACGCCACCCCCAGACAGGTGGGAGCTGGGGACCCTCCAACTCGGCCAGAGGACGCAGCCAGGAGCTGGCAGCACACAAGGGGCTATTTTGGGCAGGGGAGCAGCTGTTTGCCAGGACAGGAGGCAGAGGAGCTTGCACACGAACAAAGCTCCCAGAAGCAGCCACCAGCTGCGCTCTGCTCTCCCCTAGAGCAGATTCAGGAGCTGACCTGCCCTCCAGCAAGCATCTGGGTGCTCTGCCTTAGGGACCACCTGGCAAACACCTGGAGACATCCTCCCCACAGGAGGATGCCAAGGGACAGCATCAGTTTCTCTCTCACCACAGGGTCCAGTTGGAGAGCTCTGCGGCACCATCAGCCTGGGGAGCATCCCTGTCACCCAAGGCAGAAGGTGGGGTTCCTATTTCCATGGAGCCCCTCACCATACAGACTGTCCAGGAGCTGGATTTCACGCTGGAGTTCAGGCCAGGCCAATGCCCGTGGGTGACACAGTCGAGTGACACCACTGCTATCAGTCCCCGTCACTCAAACTCGCTCCAAAGGTCAGAGCCGCGCCCAGGGAAAGGACATGGGGAGGGGCACGGGTCACAGAGCTCCCGAGCATCACAGGTCCCGCGCCGAGGTTACGGGAGTGCAGCCCAGGTGAGGAGAGGCAGGGTGACATGAACTGGTGAAGTCATGGTGGATGTCATGCCACCAGACTGACCTAAATCCCACTTCTCCTCCCTTCCGACTGCCAACCAAAAAAGAGGTCACTGCTCTGGAAGTCACACTGCTTGGTAGCTGCCAGGAGAGGCTGGTTACACATTACTCAAGAGCAACCATCCAACTTCCTCCTGCCACTAAGGAGCCAGAGTTTCCTCACACAAGATGTGGCCTGAGCCACTGAAAGAAGCAAAGGGGCAGAGCTCAGAGCAAGTGAAGAACCAGGTGACTGGCAGCCCTGCTGAGCTGGTCACGTCACACTCGGAGTTAAGCACACAGGTCCTCCTCTCCTCCACCCCTGCAAGCAGCTTCCCTGCTGGTACAAATGATCCTGACTTGGTGCAGTCACAGCTGCAGAGAGCTGTAAATCTGATGCACTTACTGCTAGATGCAAGGAGAGAGTAGAAAAACACATCCTAACAGCCTGGAAGGCAGCAGCCCTCAGCTTCACATGCTCCGCTCCACAGCCTGCGATGGAGACCTTTTTAGGATCCTCTGATTTTAGGGGATTAATGAAGCGTTGCTTACCAGATTGGAAGCTTTTGCAAGAGGTTTCACCGCTAGGTAAACAGCTCTATCTCTGTCAGACGCGGTCGCACAAGCTTGGCACTGGAGCCAGGAGCACAGCAAAGGACGGGGTGTTCTGCGCCAGGCAGCGACACTGTTGTCACCATCCATCCACCAGCACGTGCTCTGCTCCCGAGCTGGAATAAGCAGGCTGTGATGTTGCAGAAACAAGGAGCTCACTGGATCACCAGAGCCACGGACCTCCCAGGGGCTGGGATACATGACCGGTGCCAGCATGTGGAAACCATGGGCTTGAGTTACAGGAAAAGGGTGGTTCTGGCCAAAATTCAGCTCTGAGTTTCAACATGGGAAGCCGTCCAGTGCAAGGAGTTCTTGTTCCCAAAAAGTTCCTTTAAGTTTACAGGAGATTTACAAAGTTTTAGGGGTGGGGACCAAAAAAAGCCCCCAACCAAACACAGGAAGAGCCTCTCTAATAGATACCATAATTTCTCCCAGCTGCAAAGCTGGTTCAGCATTGGAAAACTGCTCCTGAGCAAGCCAAGGTAATCAAAACTGAAGACGGCGGTGGAGATCCCAGAGCAGATTGCTGTTTCCAGCGCCCGGGGCCACAGCACCGGAGCAGACGGCAGACCATGGGCTGGGGCGAGGCAGCTCCTCTGTGCCCTGCGCCTGCTCCCTCTGCCCCGAGCCCTGCCGGCGGGAGCCGCGCTGCGAAGCAAAGTCCAGCTCCAGCACCCGAGACACATCCTGTCGGATCAAAGGTTGGGCAGCATCCGGCCGTC